ATGATGCAGTTTCTAAAGTAGCTTTGATAGATTATAAGAAATATACTATATTTAAATTCTTTCTATAGATGTGTTGATGTTTATTTAGGCTACAACGATTACTTACGCACATAGTACATAATTCTGTACATAGTATATACACAGTTTTAATGAGCTAAACTCCTTTGGGGTTAAAGATTTTATCAAAGGAATAAAACCAGGCCTTTGTGAAGCAGTGCAGTAGTAACCCACTGTCCTGCAGCCATGTGCAAAGGCTAACTCTAATGTTATCTTTTAGCAAACCAACAGAGAAATTGGTGAGGGTACCTCAGTATGGAGCCCTAAGTGGATCAACATTCACTTATATTTTAATAAGGGTAACTGGGTAAGTCGCCAGTGTCTGGGGAAACACTTTTTTTTTTAACCTGTGTAAAAGTATTGTAGTATTTGTGTGGGCCTTGAGATACTGTCACTATGTTTGGAAAGTGGAGCATGAAAGGTCGTTTACGTCAGCATTTACTGAGGAAGCAGAATTTGTTCCTGGGTTTGCACAGCAGCAGCCACTCGTTCTGTGCATATCAAGTGCTGAGGCCTCCCTTGGGAGGGACACACTGAAGGCTCAGCACCCAGCCCAGCTGAAGCTGGGTGAGAACGTGGGAAGGCCTGGGACTGTTAGGAGGAAGGTGGGACTGTGAATACTTGATGCTCCCTCCTGTCCTATACGCCAGTTTTCCCAGTTGGTCCTTTCCACTAAACYACTGCTTTGCTCTCTTGAGCAAGAAGTTGTGTGCTCACAGCAAGGACCTTATGGAAGTATGAACGCTCACTGACATTGAGCAAGCTGCATCTCTTCCCAGATGGTGAATATTGCAAATCAATATTGTGGAGTGATTGACCAGCACAAGAGTGTTGTCTGTGACTTTATTTACTATTTTATTTTTAATGAATCTTGCAATTGTACTTTGCATTTTGGCTTGCATCACAGTGATCTTGGCAAAGACCAATACGAAATGTTTTACTTATGACACATGCTGATGTACTGATAGAATACAAGATTTAGTTAGGTAATTTCAAAAGACCCCAATCTAAAATATGTTTTTATTCTTAAGTCAGTAATAGTTCTGGTTAAAACTAATAAGGAGAGATGCCTCTATGTATAGGCCCTTTCTTGGACCTACATACTTGACTGATGAAGATAAATGCATAACTCAACAGTAGCTGTTAAATCAAGAATGATCTGCCTGGTGCCCCTGCTCTGTGCCTGCACTGCCTGCTGTARCCAGTTGCTTTGTGACCGGTTGTCAGAAGTGCTGTCTGAAGATGGAGTTTGGTTTCTGCTTGTAAATGGGATGTGAAGTAATATTCACTGCTTTCTAGGTGCATCTTGGCAGACTTTGTGCATGTAATATGTTACTAGCTGCTTGGTAGGACTGGTGACTCTTTAATGAATATTCACTCAACACTTTGAGTTACGACTATTTTAAAATGTAGATAAAGCTGGAGTCTGCTCTTGGATGCTTCAACAGCAGTGGTGACAAACCACAGGATGGCTTGTAACTACTTGGAAGACAGTGACACATTAGTTGGAATTAGATGTATGACAAATCATGTCTGAGCTCTGAACTTGCTTATATTAATTCCTTTGTGTAGGATTGAAACAAGATGCCTGGGAGGTTTGACCAGCACAAACCACAGTAGCTGGCCATTTGGCATCCCCTGCAAGGCTTCTTTCTCCTCTGTGTCTGTAAAAGCAGTGGCTGAAGCTGACTCAGTATAAGTGCTTTTCCTGTCTCATCCCACCTTCCTGCTCATGGCATAACTATAGTAACATCCCACTGATGCAGTTCTTTAAGAACTTAAAGGCGTTGTTTTGTGTACAATTCCCTGTCTAAGCTGAAATTCTTTTTGGAGAGTTCAGAGGTTTTGCTTTTTAGTCAGTCTTTCTTCAGGACCCTACCTCAGCAAAGTCAAAGGTTGTAAATTAGTACCGTGTAAAATAAAGTGGAAAGGTTTTCTTTTACCTTGCCTTGTTTGTGATAGCTGCTTGCAAAATCTTACAAAGCCAGGGCTGATTTCATGTGCTTAAGCCACACTTCCTGTTCTTAACATTTTTGGATACCCTTAATCTACCCTTTAGACCTATGTATTTTAAGGTATTATAGTTAAGAGTCTCTATGGAAATTACTCCTGATCCTCCAGCCTCTTTACAAAGACAAACGAGCCCTAAATAAAGCCTTGGCTGCTCAATTAAGCAAAGTATATTTGAAGCTCACRTGCCCACTAGGATTTCTTTCTCTCATGTGTTAGAGGACATAAGAACTTGGGATGTCTTTGCCAGCAGATGCAGCCTCTGGTGGGTGGCTTCTCCTCGCAGCTGTTCATTCCTGGATTCTCCTTGTGCTGCCATCTCTTTTCTCATGTTCTTGTGGCTAATAATGTTCCCCTGGTACTTGTGTGGTATGTCCTCCAGCTGTAACTTAATTTTTGCCCAAACATTTTCATAATGGTGTTCCCTGCACAGCGTGAGTATTGATAAGCACCTGCTTGGCTAAGGATATTTTAGGATATTGGGGTGTGGTGATAACTGTAAAGCCAGAAATAGCTCACAAGGCACCTTTTTATTTATTTATTTAGTAAACTGATTTGTATTGGATGTATCACTTGCAAAGATGTTAGTATTTCACTCAGCACTACCAGCCTTTTATGAAACAAATCTCTCATAACATGCAAATTTTGTGCTTTTTGGTGTAGTAAATGAGAATTTTCTTTGAGTGAAAATGTAAGTATTACATATTCAGCATACATGTTAAAATATCTTGGCTAGGGGGAGGTTTTAGGCCCATATTTCAGAAGGGAAAAAAAAAAAAGCAACTTCTTCACCAAAGATAAATGATTTCTGTTCTGTAAAAAACATTAATGCTACCACAGTTAACAACGTGACTTTAAGAAGAAAAAAAAAAATTGTTTTTTAAAAAAAGCTTTTTGCTCCTTTTGGTGGGGGAGGAAGGGAGGAAAATAAAAGCTTCCCCTCCCCGCCGCCCTGTATTCTGATTTAGAACAACAAAATAGGGTTCTGTGAATTTTATTTGTATTTTGCTTTTTTTCCCTGCTCTCATTTCTTAATAGGTGTGTGTAACAAATCCTTTCAGAGTTAACTACATATTCAGTAATCTTAACAAAAAAAAAAAAAAAAAAAAGATCTGGCAAAGATGATGTTTTATCAGGAAGTTAATCATTCACTTGCATAGTAGCGTATTGTTAGTTGATGTTACTAATGACTCTTGTAAGCATTCCTATAACGCTTGTAAAGTTCCTATAAAATTGTACAAGAATCATTAGACAATATCCACATAGTTTTAGACTTGATTCTTAGGCAGACTTGGGACTTTCCTCTGAGGACAGAGGAGATATTTTTCAATTTTGAAAAAGCCAATATGTTGAGACTACWTGGCAGCTGCCCTCTGTGTAGGTAAGTTCTTAACCTCGCCACTAAAACTGTCGCTAAGATCATTAGCAGTATGGCCCATATGTTATTGCTGCCTGTAATTTGTATTGCTTCTTGTGCAGTAAGTGCTGCCTGTTGCCTGCAGACCTGGTAGGATCAGGTAAACAATTTTGCTTTGGAGTGCACTTGGACCGTGAGCTGGAGGGTTTCTCTGATTGTGAGACATAGAAGCTCTTGTTTTAATTGCAGRTTTACTGTGGAATTCGTCAAATGAAAGGTTCAATGAAAAAATCTGAGACCAGGCTGCTCTTCYCTGTGCTTCCCTGCCTTTAAAAGTGTTGCTCTTTCAGTATATGCTTATGAGACAAAGTGATATTAGGAAAGAATTGAATATAGTATTAGAAGGGTATTAATGCAAGTAATTATGAGCTAGAAATAAGAAGGAAACATCATGTTATTAATCTGCTCTTCAAGCACTTGCTTTACAGATCACAGTTTGTTTTTCTTTTGTAGTCCTTTGGATCTGTACATGGGATGATATGATTTTCAGTGCATAGGATATGATATGTTTCTCAGCCAGCTCGTATGCTGCAATGCATTTTCTCTTGGTTTTGAGGTTGAAAGAGAGAATAAATTACTAAGAAGTGTCTGGAGAGATCAGAAAMTTTCCCTGCATGTTGGTGAAACTGGGATTAGAAATTGGATTCAGCCTAACTCGACAATGCTGTGTAACAGTATCCAGTAAAATCTCTGTCCAAACTTTTAACAACTTTTTCCTCTCAGTGAGTATGTTCAAAGATAGATATTTATCATTATACATAACTTTGGAACTCTCACTTCAAGTCCATARCAACCACTGAAATAATAGTTAAGTGATGTGGATTGTAGCATTTCAATTGATGAGTAAACCATTCCAGTATATTGGCATGTGGCCTCTTTGCTATGTAACAGTGTTTTTCATAAAGTATTGCCTTAGCAACAGGTCTGGATGACATTGGGTAGCTGTTTGCTGCTGACTGTTAGAAATAAAACAGAGCCTTTTAGCAACACATGTGTAATGTCTCAAGGTAAAGTAACCCGAAATAAATGCCTGTGATCCGCTGAGAATGTAGTATGAGGCACATCAAGCCAAAGTCTGACTTACTGACTTATGAAGTTAATCCTTCCGTGAAAGTGTTTCTGCATGTTGAAAGCAAAACTATATATACTAGCAACATGTGCAACAAATGAAAGATGAAAATAAAATAAAGAATATTGATGGAGGTTGTATTGCAGATGCTTTTAAGGATAGAGTATCAATTCTTTTGAAGGCTGTAAGAATTACAGTTCTAGAGAAACTACTTCTGGATGTGTAATTTCAATTGAAAAGATTTTTGGAAAAAGGGGATATAGTGAAGAATTTAACTCTTCTGGCACTGCTGGAAAGCTGTCAAATGAAAATGGCGTGAGAAATAGAAAATGAAATAAAATTCACGATATTGTCAAAGCAAACTTTTTTAAAAAAGAGAAGTCAACACATAAAGTTATTAGACTATTGTTATGTCCCCTTTATCAGTTTATTTTTATTATTTTAAAGATAAGAATACAGACATTACTGTAAAGGATAACACGGACGATTTCTGCCTCCGAGATACATTGAGCATTGCGTCAACAGACTCCTTTGTTTCCACAGCTGAGGTAAGACTTTTAATTTAATTGCTTTTTTGAGGATTCTRGCTTCTATTTGAAGAGTGGAGAGGAGAATCCTAGCTCCTTGTTTATTTTCGTAAATAAAATTTATTTCYCTTATGAAAAAAGAAAACAGCCTCCCTCACATAACTGTAATCAGCTTCCTAATAGTTCAAGTAACACAATTAAAATGAGATAYGATTGCAATTCACAGCTACCTATTCAAGTAAGTTACATTCACACCATAGTAAATGTCATCTACCTCTTCCTCCTCATCTTGAACAGAACCACAAAGAATACATAAAGAAAGAACCTTTGGGTAACTGCATTGCCTGTTAGCTCCAACCTGCGATGGCTTCCTTGGAATATTCAGAATAATTCATATACAGCCATGTACCTACCTGAATGAGGACTGTCCCATGTTATACTCTCTCAGGAGGTGAAGTCATCTTGAATAATATTCTCCAAATACAAGAAAGACGATTGGTCTCAGACATTGCATTCTGTGTTAGTGATCACAGTCATGTAGCGCTACAGCTGAGCCACTGACAGCTCAAAAAAGACAGACTCACATATACACCCTTTGCAAGTGTCTTTTGAATCACTGTTATAGGAGTTTTTTTCTATGACACGGTTACCTTGATTTAGTAATTTGCATTAAGTTATGATGGCAAATTTAGCCTTATTCTCTAGCAGAGAATTGGAACAAGACCACAATTCAAGCTTGCTTTGACTCTTTTAGATCTTGTATATACCTTTTGGATTAAATTTTCTCAGTAGTTTTGCAACTTGTGTTACCACACTGTTTGGGAAAAAATATCCTATCCTGAAACACTAAATTATTTGTTCTTGATAAAGAGTCAGAATTGAGCCTAAATTGGCTTTAGATCTTGTYTCTCCATATCCTGAATATAGTGTCTGTATTTTGATATCTCAAAGCAACTTCTGTCAGGTTTTTCCTTGGGGAATGAGGAAATCTGGAGACACTCTTCCTTTGGAGCCGCTCTAACCCTTGCCAGTAGAACAAGCTCTCTGATTGCCTCTCTTWGATTTAATGGTAGATTCTTGACAGGCTGTCCCTCAACTGCTAGAAGGGAGACCTGGAGATCAAGAGAGCAACAAACATGTTGAAGTTTGAACACCATCAAACTGCTGGGTCCAACATGAGCTTAACTACAGGACCAGTTAGCAACATAGTGGTAACATATTGGGGCAGCACTGCACACAGTAGCTAAAACTGAGCTCTTAGCCAGTTATCTTCCTTAATGAGCACAGTGTCACCTTCATGTAAAATTTTCTCCATTCTTGGAGAGGGGTATGGCGAGAGTGCTTTAAATTAGCGCTGCAGTGGCATGAAATAATTACTGCTTCTCAAAGTATTTCAGTTCTTGACAGATAACGGCGATCACTTTAGTAATAACTGGCTTAGTTAGCATCGAGGTATTAAACTTTCCATTCTGGACAATATAATGGCATGTAGCTTCTCACTTACTTGATATTTCCCTTCTGTTTTCTTGCTCTTGCAAAGAGATGGAATGTTCGAGGTTAAGGGAAATGAGGGTTTTCTAGCTTCAGATTTACTCTGCCAGTGGCCAGTTTGCATTTATCCTCTTCTCCCTGGTTGCAGTAGTTGTCCTAAACAGTGTATGATGATAGAAACATTTTTCAAAGCTTTTTAATATGGCATTTTTATTTATTTATTTATATGTATGTGTGTGTATATATATATATATATATATGCATCTGCTACTGTGTGTGTTTGCCCTGCTGGAATTATTATTAATTTTACATTCTGAAAAATTACAAAATAGTAGCTTTTTTGTGGTCACACGGTGCTGCAACCTGTTTTGGCAGTTATTAATATTCCTTCTACAGTGCATYCTGTCCCAAAGAGCAGGATTATATGTTTTATGTGGCTCTGGTTTTACAGATTAGAAGTGATTTCCCTGTTTCAGTACTGATACACAGTCAAGTTCAGGTCAGTGGCTTGCAGAGAGATGCAAGGAATCCAGAGGCAAATATTGATGCTTCAATGGAAGTCGATAGGGAAATGCCTTGGGAGGTGACATGATTGCTGTCTTGTGTTATCCTAAAACACAGCATAGGAAGATGACTTTTGAGAAAGGGAATGTACAAAAGTAGGACAGCTGGCGGAGCGTGGATCACACCTTTTGGAGCTCAACAGGATAGCAGGGGAGTGTGTCAGCACGTCGTCCTGGCTGGGGCTGACGCTCAGGAGGCTGCTGAGAACCAGGCACTTAGTTCCTCTCACAGAGCTGCGCCAGCCTGGGGACCTGCAGTGCACAGGTGACTGAATCCCCATGAAGATGATTTAGAGGGACAGTTCCCTCCCCAGGCCYGGCCAGGCTTCCCTTCCTAAACACAGGCAGTTTCTCACAAGCACTGTCAACGTGTTGGAAAGCCTGTCTGCCTTAATTAAAAGTTGTTGATACTGCTTAGTGTGATCAATGTTTTTTTCCCCTTTTGAAACAGTCTGCCATCAGCTTGGATTTACGAGAGTTAATATCCTGTTCATACTCTTGCTATCTTGACTGTGGTGTGATCAAAATAGCTATCACCCTTGGCATGAGTACAGCAGTGAGTGTGCCAAGTAAAGGTCTCTGCTTCTTCTTTCCTGACTTCCATGGCATTTCTAGCAATTGAATGTTTTTTCCTACTCTCTCCATCAGTTTCATTGCTGCCTTTCCATTGCCATTACATATGGCAGCTTGCTCTGTTCTCACATGTTAATAGAAAAGAAACTGAAGTCCTATTATCAAACAGCTTGCTTTTTTAGTACAAATATTAACTCAATTCCAAGGTGAGGATTTTTTTTAGTCTTATGAATAATTTTGTATATATAAATATAGTGTATTATTTGCATATATTCTWTATATGTTGTTTGTATACTGTCTGTTAGTAAAGGTGTTACTGATATATAATCTATATATACTGCAGATATATTTTCCATATGCATACACACACACACACACATTTTAATAATAAATAATATGTTCTATCTTTTTTAAAAAATATTTTAACCAACTCTTTAATCAAGATTAAAAAAAAAAATGTGTTTCAGCTTACAGAGCACAGAGAGATTCGTAATTCCTACGGTCTAGATTCCCTTTGCCATTGCCCACTGTACGAAGAAGCTATGCACTTGGCAGAAGAAGGCAAAATTTATTCCAGAGTGTTAAGGTATTGATTGATGTTTACCTGAATATCCAAGGGGGAGGAAAAAAAATGTTAAATATTTAACAAAGAAATTATTTCAAAGAAAAAAATGACTTGTGTCAGGTGTTATTTCTAAATGAGGAAAGAATTAGACCTTTAGTCTAATTAGTCTAATTTAGAAAATTAGTGTATTTTCTTGTGCTTTTCTTCTTAATAATTGGTATACCTCTGTTTCATATAGAACTGAAATGTTGGAGTGTCTAGGAGACAGTGACTTTCTTGCTAAGCTTCATTGTATTCGGCAAGCTTTTCAGGTAAATGCAGAGTTTTATGTCTCATTAAACCTAATATATATGACAATGAAACTAACGATGCAGGATGTGCAAGCATTTTTGCAATATATCRTGTAATTAAATGTTTTCTTCTTGCTTTTGTTTTTGTAATCATTTAATGGGATACACTTCCAGAAGAAATCACTGATGAGCTTTGAAATTTTTGATAAAAGTTTGATTGGAGATTTTGCCACTGTACTGATATTTTATAAGCAAAACATATACTTTGTATTTGACTGAAATAATTAAGATCACATAGTATATAGCTTATTAATTAATGTGTATGTTTTCTGCAATTTTTCTAGATAATTCTTTCAGAAACAGCTAACAGAATATTTCTTGCTGAAAGTGGAAGGAAAATTTTATCCGCTTTAATTGTGAGAGCRCGAAAGGTAAAGCCCTTTTTTGAAACTCATGTTTTACATTAAATGGAACTTTTACTAGAATTCACTTTTTTTGCTGTAAATAAACCTTCTTTTAGCTTGGCACTTACTGCTTTTAATCCTCAGAATCCGAAGAAATTTGAAGATGTCTTTGATGAAATGATATACTTTTTGGAACAAACAGATCACTGGGATAATACAGAAATGGAACTTGCTGCTAGAGGGGTGAGTGTGAGTTTCTGAAAAGTGTCTTTACTCTCTATTTCATTATGTAAACTGTTGCCTATTAAAACGGACTTTTATTGTTCAGAACTATGGGAAAGTCAACTTTATTGTTACATTGTTAAGTCAGAGAAATGACACCCACCATTCAGTGTAATATAASAAAACATCTGATCTTTTTCAAATTGTTTCAACTTCTGACAAAGTATTTTTAAAAACAACCATGRCAAATCTGGATGTTAATGTAGAATTGAATACTGACACATGCTTATTTCCGGGGCTGAAAGAGATATCAAGTTACTTAAATCATGTTGTGATTTAATATAGGTGAAAAACCTGAATTTTTATGATGTTGTTTTGGACTTCATATTAATGGATTCCTTTGAAGATTTAGAAAATCCACCAATATCTATACAGAATGTAGTAAACAACCGCTGGCTAAATTCTTCCTTCAAAGAAACAGTAAGTTTTGATGTGTAATTTCCATATTCATTATTCTGTAGCACATTGCAATAGGCAGAGGGTGTGAGTGATGTGACACTGGTGTGAGCATATTGGTACAGAACTCTGACTGGCTGAAACCATTGTCTTGATGCTCTGGGCTTTATATTCTCAAAGAATACTATAATGAGGAGAATAATTTCATCCTTTTTATCCAATTAAGTATCAGTGGCAACAATTGCAGCATAAAGATTGTATCTTCCTAGTAACAGCATTAAGTTAGAAGCTAAGAAAGTACAGCTTCTCTCTGTGTGAAGTCTAGTTCAGCTTCTAATATAACTGAATATGCACCTGAAGTTTTCCTCAGCAAAAATGAATGAAATGTATTATCTATTTCTTTCATAATTCAAATTTGAAATCTATCAATCTGGGCCAGAAATATTCAGGGTGAATGATTATGTTAGAGAAAACATTCTGGCTTGTTCTGCAAGAACAGAAAGTAGAGTTTTACAAGGGAAACTTCTGATCGCCATGCCTGAGAGATTAATACTGCATAGGTTCGTATGCTGGAGTTTTAACAATAAGTTAGCAAGTAAATGAATGCAATACAGGGATTTAGATGTCCATACCACGTCAGGCTTTTTCGTATGTGTTTCTACATATGTATTTGTCAAATAGATTTGATCCTTCTGTTACAGAAATACTGGCTACTGCCATGATAACCTAACAGAGATGCTATGGTCATTTCATCCGTTTATATCTGTAAACCTCTGTTTCTCCTTTAATTTTTTCTTTCAACTTAAATATTCCCTCTACCAGGAAAAATGCTTGTTATTATATTTCTAATGCAATAAAACTGTGTTTTGTGAGTGCTAAGTTATCTTACACTACTGAAAGAACATCAGATTAGGTCAGAACTCTGTTGCAAGCTATGAGGGGGAAAAGCCTAGTTTTGATATCAGTATATTGTATTTCACAGGTCCATATTAGGACAAAACTACTTAGCTGAATCCACAGCTATTGCAAGAATGTTTTTGTTGAAATGAAAAAAGGCATTTGAATGTGTTCACAGGCTATTCAATATCTAAAATAGCTACTGGTGTCTCAGCATACATTTCGATATGTAATACACTGGTTCTGTTAATCTTAGTAAATGTCAGTTGTTCAACTGTAAAAAGCAGCTGAGAATACAAAATTATGTTCTAATTAATAAGTGTTGGAAAGGTAGACTTCAAAGAAGAAATGTACTAGGTAGAAAATTAGTGGTTTGTATCAGCTGATATTTTGTAACATTTTAAACATATTATCACAAAATRGAAACAGGAAAGTATAAATCCTCAAAATACAAAGATATAGTATTCTGAATTCTAAACTTCAGTGCTTTTAAGATGAAGATGAAGATGATGATGATTATTATTATTATTTAAATTTAGGCTGTGGCCTCTAGTTGTTGGTCAGTACTGAAGCAGAAAAGACAGCAAATGAAGGTAAGTTGCTTTGCAACTTGCTTGGACCAAACTTGCCAGTCAGTCTGAAGAATTTGAAAATCTGCCTTGTAATTTGGAAAAATAAATAACAGATCAACTGTTAATTCTGTGCACATGTTAGTTAAATGAGAGCCAATTGKAGAAATTTAGCTCTTGGGGCCTTAATATCTACTTCTCGGGGCAGGGAGGGAGTTGGGGGGAAGTCCTGTATGATTCTCAAGGCAATTTAGGTGTGGTCAGCAGTGGTGAGAGGCCGAGGTCACTCATCTTTCATCTGACCTGCTTCGAGCTGGGCTCTCAGGCCTGTGGCCCTGCATCATCTCCACAGCCAGGTGGAAGTTCCTTTGCCTGCCCGAGCTCCCCCTTCCTCAGTAGCACCAGGAGCTCCAGCCAAGGAGCCTCCCTCGCCTTTGCCTCAGGTGCAGGGGACTGAATAAAACACCAGTCTGTCATATGGGACGTCAGAGTAGATGGCAGATGGTTGAAAAACTCTTTGTATCTCTTTGTTTTCAAACTTACTAATCTTAAAAAAAAAAAAAAAAAAAAAAAGTAGCACTTTTTTCCTTCCTCCGTATAATATAAGAGCTTGGGTTGCATCAGCCTAAAGTAAAGGTTTCTTTTAGGCTTTCCTAAAGACTTAATTTCCTGTGATAGAGGCTTACTACATTTACTATACAATTCTTTTTCCCTCCAATTTTTACACTGCTAGGTGCCTGATGGATTTTTTGCACATTTCTATGCTATATGCGAACACATCAGCCCTGTCTTGGCATGGGGTTTTCTGGGCCCTAGGAACTCCCTGTATGACTTATGCTGCTTCTTTAAGGTTTGCACCTTTTTTTTTCTTTTTTATTACCTATTTATCTTAGCAAGACAAAATGCAACAAAATCTTCCAGATTAAACCAAGTGAGAATTTATTAATAAGCTCGTACTTACATTTTCTTAGAATTAACAGTAACAAGTCATGAAAATATTTATTTTCATATTAAACAATTTTTATGTATTTGTTTATTTTTAGGTCTACAGCTGTTTTGTAAATTCTGCTTTCGGCGGATTTCTATTTAAGCACCAAAAGACATAAATGGAATTATGGGGGAATATTATGTGTAAAAGAAAGAAGTAGCATTACGTAGTGTAACATAGCATTTTATTGTGGTTCTTGTAAGTGAATACAAGATTTCTTCTTTCTTTGTTTTATTTCTTTTCTTTTTTCCCCAATAGGATCAAGTGCTTTTCTTCATGAAAGACATTTTTGACTTTGAGAAGGTGCGGTACTCGACTATGGAGAGCCTGGCCGAAGATCTGATGCAGTTACTGATGCGGCGCACGGAGCTCTTGGCCACCTACCTCGGCGCCGATTCCCTGCGACACGTCGGTGCGTGTGTGAGTGCTCATGGCCACGTCATGACCAGTGGCCTCTTGGAAGCGAAGGTGCAGTGAGCTTAAAACACCTGGCAAAGGCCGTGGACTGCACCTTGAATTGCTCCTTCCCACCTTTCTTTCCATAACCCTATAGCTCTTGCTGCTCTTACTGAGCTAACATCTGAAAATGTACCAAGTGGCTGTATGTGGAAAAGGACTCAGGGAGGCTAAAAAATGCATCTAGGAGAAGACCTGGTGAGCGTAATATTGTATATATCTAAATTAAATTTGCAGCTCAGCTGTCACTGTATTTATATTTAATGTATCCCAAAGCTTTTTTCTGTAATATTGGGGTAAAGTTTATTTATGAAATACTGTACTTTTGCCACAGGTAATTTGTGATTGAAAGCTGACGGAGTTGTTTCCTTTGAAGTATTGTACTACAGCTGCACATTACAGTGTCTCAGAGTCATTATGTGTTTAGATCTAGAAGGTGTTTCRGCTGGGGCATATGCAGTCTCTGATTTATGTGACACATGTGCAGTAATTACACTCTCAAAATTCAACATGTTGCTGCTGCCCAGAAATTACATTTGTGTGGGTGTGAACTGTCATTTTGTATTGCAGCATAAGAGTAATGCAGTAAATAGAGGCATCATTTGGGCAGTAATGACTTTCACTATGCATTTTTTATTACTTTTTGTTTAAAGATTCCTAATAATCATGAAAATGTTCCTTTGAGACCACTGTTTCWTATATTTTAAAAGCGATGGTTGTTTTGTCACCTACTTTTAAAACTCTTCCTTTTTGTAAAACTATTAGGATTTTATATGGCAGCTGAAAATAATGCCGTTCTTGGTTCAAATGTAGCATTTAAAACTGAATYCTTAAATAAGGCTGTAGGATAACATCTGTTAATCATGAACAGTGGGTTATCATTAAAAGCATTTTAGTCTCACTCACTTCCTTGTAGGAAATCACTTGTCAGTTTAAGAGGAAAATTAAGTAATTGGCACAATCTACATCTATCTACATGTCTATCTACATGAATATGCAAACCTGGCTACGGATATGGGACCCTTAACTTTAGATAGGGGCACAGTACAGTAATGAGGAATCAGAGACTTGCAGCAAAGTTTTCTTTTCTTGCTGTGCTACAGATAATAAATATGAATGATCTCTATATATAATATATAACTGAATTCCCATTAACTGACATGATGTTTCCTAGTTAGCTTTTGAACTACATTTGTATATGCTTTGCTGCACGGAGGCAGCCCACAAAAATCTGTGCTATGTTAAAGAAGTAATAGGAAGTGATTATAAATATTCAGGTACTTCAGAAACATTTTGGTACAAATCTAGCATGTGGAAGCAAAGTTCAATTGGTTACATTTCAACTTAATGTTGCAAACAACCCAGAATGATACCTTAATAGGTATGTGGCCTGTGTTGTTCAACAGACTTTAGTGCAGTCGCTGTGTCAATGCCTTTTGTCTTGCTCATTTGCTAAATGTAAAATGCATCRTATGAAAATGCATCATATGACTTGTGTGAAATGCCAGTTGACTGTGGTTCATAAAAAAGCAAGTATACTTCTATATATAATAATTAAAAAAAATTCTAAATACATTAGATGTATTCCTTGAGATCATGACTGTCAAAAGCCTCTAGAATCATGGCAAAAATGAGGTTCATGTACTTCCCAACCAGAATGCTGTGCCACGTCATCAATATGTTTCATTCAGACTTCTGCTTTTAATTATGTGAATTTCCAAAACATTTAAGGAAAAAAGAGAATGCAGGAATGTGTTGGTAGATTCCTGAATAATGCTGGGTCTTTATGGACCTTTTCCTGAAGAGTGTTCATAAACTGTAATATTCTGTCCATCCTAACCCAAAAACAGAGTTGTAAATTGAAGTGGGGGACAGCTGATTCCTTTAACAGAGAGCGTATGAAGAATATTGACAACAAACCACCAAGCTGAATGACTTGAGAAGTCTGCTGTCCTTGAGAATGAGAATGCCAGATTTGCACCAAGCCAGTGATGGTGTGATGTAACTGCACTCTAATTGTTACAGCATCTTTCATAATCAACATAAAAATTTGGCTTAACTTTTGAAATAAATGGTTTTGAGTGCCCCTTTCCATGCTARTAAGAGTAAGCTGAACTTAAAAGCCATCCTCTTCTGCCATAACTGTACTGCTAAGATCAGAAGCATTGAATGGTATRAGCATTAAACAAGAACTAAGTATTTATATAACTTGTAATTTAGTTGTAATATTACTTTTAATGTGTTTTCAATTACTATTATATTTCACTTTTGTAGTCTTTGATTTCTATCAAGCTAAACATGTCAAATCCAGTGCTAGAAGAAGCATATTTGTGGACTTTCTATTGCCTAAATGAACTGCAATTGTGCATATTAAATAAAATAATGAAATTAATATGAAGAAAAAGTAGTTAACTTATTCTCAGTTGTGTAAGGCATTTCTTTTAATGAAGGAGGGGGGAAGCAACAACTTTTGCAGCCTTTCTGTTGACATCTCATTGTATTTCAGGCTAGAATAACTGACAGGACAGACTGGGTGGTGTATAATAGAAAAATCCAACTTAAATAAATGGAGACTTTTTTTTTGATAAGATAATCCTAATTGATAAATACTTGACATCATTGCTAATCTTTCAGCAAATATGCCACCAGCTCAAACAAAGCCAATATGTATATGGTCGTGAAGACAAAAAGTGACGCGGGCACCTGATAAATGAAGAAGGTCACGGCTTGGGGCGGGTGACAGTTGCACCAGGTTGCACCAGCATGCAGCTTTACGGGGGTGACAAAAGCAGCGCGTGGCAGCTGGTGGGATCCCTGCCCCTCGTGCTCGGGGCMAGGGCTTCGCTGCTCTCGGCTGCTTATGCCAAGCTCTTGTCTCTTGCTGAGGTTTTCAGGAGCGCAGAGGTCTGTTCCTTTGCAAGCCATTCCACTACGGTGAGCTCCAGGCCTGGAATAGGACTTTTCCATTATGGGATCATATAAGTAATGAAATGCAGAGCATAAGTTAAAAAAGGAATATGTACGCTATGCTCGAGCAATGCACCTATAATTTGTTCTGTCCAGATTTTTTACTCAGTTGTAGGTGATCATCCTCCCAGAATTGCTTTAGAGGGAGTTGAAAGCACCATCCTAAATCGGTGCCTTTACTTCAGACAGACAAGTGCAGCTATGTGAAATGCTTGCTGTCCCCTTTATAAGCAATGACTTTTGCCTTCYGGATTTGTGGCCTTTTGTTAAGGCTTAAAAGGCCAATGCTCAACATGATTATTGTCCTAATATTTATTCAGCAAAAAAAACAGTCTCCAGTGTGGGGAAATTTCCTTGCAATTTAAAATGTAAGGAAATGCCATCTTGAAGGAGGAGGAAATTATATATATATTATATATATTTTTATATCTCTAAAGGAAGTAAAGAATCCTKTTTCTGACTGTTTTGCGAACTTTTCAGGGAAACACGCTCCTTTAAAGACRCTCCCCAGGAGCTAGCTGTGGCCCCGGACAGATTCCTGGCCTCCGCTGGCTGTCACATTACTATTATTAGTCGATTGCTCCCGTGTCCATGTGCTATAACGCGGCCCGCGCCGGGAGCGGGCGGCTATAAAAGCTCCCGCGGGGCTGGCCCGCGCCCGCGGATGCTCCGGCCTCGCCAAGGGCCCCTGAGCGCGGGGCAGCGGCTCGGCGCGGTGAGTGCCTCCGTCCCCGTGA